AAGCGTTGGTTCGTCTTGCGAGATGACTACCTCCTCTATACGGGATCGAGAACTGCTAGTAAACCTATGGATGTCGTTTTGTTCGACTCGAGATTTCAGGTGGGCAGATAATTTCGTGGCGCGTGAAAGATAGATGTCTTGGAAATTGATGGTTTTCATAGGAATTCGTATTGTGTGTTTATATACGGTGGAATTTCTCAAAATGAGTTTCACCACTCCGAACACGAGCCTTGTGACTCTGTGGCGAGTTAGTTTCGGTTTTCCATGTCATAGCGCCAGTGGAGTTTCACTAGTTTTACGTGAAGTGGCGTATCACTCTTACAGAGGTTGTTGTTGTTGTTATTGCCAGGTGTTGTCAGGTTTTGACCAAAAATGAAGACCCGTCGCTGCATAAGTATTCACTAAGGATAGTTAACTCGTATCGATCGCTAACTGTGAAGTTTCAAAACAGACGACAATGTTTGTCGTGGAAGTCATCTCTGGAGCAAGCCTATGAGGAATGTCAGTGGAACACACAGTAAGTTGTGCATCGCTCCGCCTGATAATTGTGACATGTTGTGCATTTTTGTTGATCTTCGTATTAATGGATTACATTGTATGGCAGTGTGAGAATATATGCATATGGTCAATCACATGTGTTGTTAGGAAAATGGAAATTTGAGAAAATTATGGGAAAATTATGAGGAAGTGACGTCTATTTTCGTATACTTCTGCTCGAAATATTGTGGATTTTCATAATATAGTGAGGAAGCCTTTAGTGATAATATTGCAGTGCATGGAACTGTGAAAAAATCGACTTTTATTTTACCACATCTTAGCGGAGCGAAGGTTTAAATTAAAGATTTGTGGCGGTTTTTGATGTGATACGGTTACAGTGTTGAGGGTAGTCGTCGGTTGTCCTGCCATATCTCTCAGTAGTGAACTTGAGCACGCATATGATCAGTCCAGGAAAACATGCTTACGTTGGTGATAATATTAAAATTCTGAGGAAATTTCGGGAAATTTTACCATAATTTGTGTGAAAACTCTTGTAGATTCTGAGCTCACCTGAGGAGAGCAAACACATATATCCCTCCAACCCACGTGATGTGACGTTTATGGTTATCATTGAACTCGTTATAGGTATCGATTCTCAGCCTTTGCACCTCCTCGTGCTGGGTGTACTGCTCGGGTACTTGTCGATGGTCGGGAACATATGAGCCAAGTAAGTGTTGGTATTTCGAGGGGAGCTTATAGGCTTGGACTTCGATGCATCGCTATGTGAAGTATGGATGGAATCTTATGTGATCTGTTGTATATCTATCGAGTATAAAGATGTTAATATGATATTCATGGAGCTTCACCCGTTTTTCGTGAAGTGGCGTGAAACGGCGTGAAAAACGCGATATTCGCGGTGATATGCAGTAGTTGTGAAATATGTTTTTCATATCACTAGGGTGAAACTTGAACATTTTTTGATATTGCAGGTGATGGCTTGTATAGATTTGGCGCAAGATGAAGTGTTCATTTCGGGCTGGTGGATTACGCCGGACTTACCCCTCACAAGGCCGTACACTGAGGGTTGTCTGTTGGTAGGGGGAGGAGGCAGTAGCTTCGCTCCGCTGTTATTTTGTGAATTGTTTTAGGTAGATGTATTGAAAAGGAAGGCTGATGAGGGAGTGAAAATATTTGTGGTTGTTTATCAAGAAATATCTTTGGCATTGTAGGGTGGGGTGTTGGGCAGGGTTTGAATCTTATTCATTTGTTCGCACGGAACATATATTTTTCGAGCGGAGCGAAGCTAGGGCATTGCTGACTGACTATTGTCGAGGGAAGTAGGAGTGTGTTGTTGGCGGAATAACTGTGGATAAAATTCGGAAGATGCTGAGTAGTGCGGTCTAGGGTAGAGTAGGTTAGACTGTGATTTGACAGAAAGATGGTA